TCCGGTCCTCCGGCCCCTCCCCCACCCTCTCCGCGCCCCTCCGGGTACCTCGCTCCATGCTGCCCAGCCCGGCCTGGCTACCTTACTTTCCCTCCGCTCCTCTCCTCCCCGCTCCTCTCGCGCGCCCCCAGGGCTAGCATCCCTCTGGGCTCTCGGCGTTCTTCCCTCCGTCTCCCCACGGCTTCCTTCCATAACCTCCCCAGGCGCGGTCCCTCTCCATCATCTCTCCATCAGCCTCTCTCTCTCCCCCGTCGCTCTCCCCTCCTCTCCAGTCCCTCACCCGCCACCTCCAGGCCATCCGCCTCACTCTGCCTTCTTCTGCGCCCCCGCGCCCCTGTCTCCATTTGTGGAGCAGCCCTCTTCTAAGAATCCTCAGCAGCCTCAGTCCCCAGTCTTTCTCTGCACGCACCCCCCACCCCCGCCTCCATCTGGCTTGGGTGTTTTGCCCCCATCTCTTTCCCTCGCTGTTGCCTTTTTCTGTCATTCGTGCCTCCCACGGTTTGCTTTGTTCACGTGCATTTTCCCTCTGGGGCGGGGGCGGGATGCGCCTCGGGGAGGGACTGGGTTCCACGCCTGGAGGGAATGGGGACGGGTCGGCTCTTGAAGGTTGGGGTGTTAGAGCCGGTGGACGCGGGGAGGAGGTGGAGGTCTAAAGGGATCGCGAGGGGTCAGGAGCCAGCTCCCAGCTGGGTGGAGCCGGCCCTGGGAGGATCCCCGGGACTGGACAGCACCTGTCAGCTGGGGGTGGGTGGGGGGCGGGACCGGCGCTTTATTTACCTTTGACCGGGGGAGGCGCCTCCTAATTTGTTTACCCCCGTCAACCTTTGCCTTGCTACCACCCCCTGGTCCCCCACCCCCTGCACACTCCACTTACCTCTCCCTAACCCTCCAATTTTTCACATTTCAACTCCCCATTTCTCCCGCCTACACGCCCCGGTGACCTCAGGCTGAGAGAATAATTTGTATTATTATTACAAACAAACTCACCCTCAGAAAGCCTGATTTCTCTGAGACCTGGTTTATTTCCATGGATACCCTCCTCCTCCTCTGCCTTCACCTCTTCTCCGGGTTCTCTCCCTCCCCCTCCCTGCCCCCCACGCTCTGACTCAGCTCTCCCTCTTTTACAAAGGCCACCTCTCCCCTCCCCTCTCTCCCACTTTTCCTGCCCTATCTCCCTCCTCGGCGATTGTTTTCTGTCTGCCCCATTCCAGCTCTCTCCACTCAGAAGTCCATCTTTCCTCTTCCCCCCAAGCCATAGCCTCTGGTCTGACCCATCTCACCACTCCCCTGCAGCCCCAGGGAATAGCGGCACACTTTGGAGGGGTCCTACCTCCCTTGGAACCCTTAACCAGGAGCCTTGCCTTTTGCATCGGCTATGTTGTTGCATGCTGAATGCCTCCTCAGCCCCAAGACCCCATACAATTTACCCCTTCTCAAGAGCGGACCCCTAACCTGAAATTCAGAATCACAAAACTTCATGTATAGCAAGGATCTATAAGGTCAGATGGTTTACAGCCATCCGACTTTAGTCCACAACTATCCAAGTGTTCTTCCCCAAGCCTTCCAGGAGGCACCTCAATCTCAATCTCCCTTCACTATGAGCTCTGGCCTCATTTTAGCAATTACCATTCTTCTCCCCCCCAAACCCTCAAACCCTTCCCAGCATCTTTTGTCTTCTCTTTGACTTGAATTCGTGTTCTTTTAGTTCCTATTTTTAAAAGTCCCCTTCGCTCCTCTGGTGGTCCCCTCCACTCCTCTTGAATCCATCACTTATCTCCCAACAGTCAGGTAGCATTATTCCATCCCAGGCTTTGCTTTCCTTGCTCTCCCTGTTTCTGGGTGAACACACCCAACTCCCTCCTCTCCCCTCCAAATCCTTCCTGTGGGACAAGTTCACCAACTCCTACAGAGGGTCCCTTACATTCCTAACACTTCCCAAATAATAAAGCCCGCACATAGAGACGCTAACCCCTAGAAAAGCCCCACCCTTATTTGTAGAAACATAATAGGTGAAAAGCGCACCTCCCAGTGTACTCCTGCATAGAAACCCTCCACGATCCCTCAGGACAGGATGGACACCAGTTTTCCTGCTAAAACCCAACCACTGACCCTTCCATTTAAACAACAACAATAAGCGAGGCCATACACCAGTTTTTCTGAGTTTGCTATTCTTCGTTGAGGTTAAACTGAATATTTTGGCTCAGTATTATGATTTCTTTTACCAAAAATGTGGGCAGAGTAGGGATGTAAAAGGGTTGGGCAATGGGAAGAAGGAGTGGTAGCTAAGGGTCTGGAAGGGTCTGGAGAGGCAGCCTCAATGTGTGGCTTCGGCATCTGAGACCAGGAGGGACTTTTGGGTTGGGCGCAGGGGAGTGAGGTGGAGCAACTAACCCTCTGGCCACTTCAGGGAATGAGGTGATTGCAGTGGATTGGAAGGGACTGAAGGATGTGGACCAAATCAACATGGACAGCACCAGCTCACTGCACGGAAGCAGCCTCCACCGGCCATCCACGGAGGTGAGGCCTGTGCCCAGCTGCCCCTCACCAAAGCACCTCTAAAAGACCCCGGAACCGTCCCTAACAAAGCCTCCCAGTTGCCTGACCCTTGAAATCCACTCTAAAGTCCAAGTGAACATCCCAAACACTCCTTTAAACTGACACTTGGGAAGAACATTTCTACAAAGTCCTCAAAAGACAAGCCAAATGTTCCACACCAACACCCTAATTTCCTATGCTAATCTCAGGAAAGCCCTCCCTTCTTCACATACTTCTGGAAGTCCCTCGGAGGAAAGGGGTGGGGTTCCTTGCATTCATGGAAGTGCTTGGGATACCCACTCCCTTTTCTCTCTCCTCACAGCAAACCCGAACTGATTTCTCCTGGGATGGCATCAATGTGAGTGCAGCTTCCCCCAGCCTCCCCCAGCCCCACCTAACTGGTCTTCCTTCTATTCTCCTATAACACAGTGCTCCCTCACTCCAGCAAGCCCTCCCATGCTCTGCCTACACCCCAACTTTTCAAGGGTGGTTGAAAGATATGCCTCCTTGGGACTCCTGGGTCTCATGGTTTTCCCAATCATCTGCCCTAGCTCAAATCCTTCATCCAGGAACTTTTCCCTGCATATAGAGCACCCCCAGGCCCTCTCATTCCTCCTCCCCTCCTCCCACATTCCCCATTCCAGCTCTCCATGGAGGACACCACTTCCATTCTTCCGAAGCTTAAGCGAAACTCTAACGCCTATGGCATTGGGGCCCTGGCCAAGTCATCATTCTCAGGTGAGATTCCCTACCTAGGGATGCATTCAGACAGGAGATACTCACAGGCTCCTGGTGTCAGTCTCCCTGCTCCTTCTGGCCTGACCGGCACCCTCATCTTCCTATCTCTGACCTATTTGTCCTTTCTGTCAAACCTCTCCTATCCTCTAGGCTGCCCTCATATATGGGGATCTAGGGGAGCCTGTCCCCCATGGGATGGAGCCCCCTGAGACTGGGGTGAGGATAATGGGGAGGCCCTGTTATGGGTATTGTGTGATATTCTGGAGGATGGGGGGAATGTCTGGCCCCTTAGGGATTTCAAGAAGCATGAAGGACCATGTGACGAAGCCCACAGCCATGGGGCAAGGCCGGGTGGCCCACATGATTGAGTGGCAGGGCTGGGGGAAGGCACCAGTCATTCAGCCACAACACAGCCACGAGGCAGTGCGCAGGGATGCCGATGCCTACTCCGACCTCAGCGATGGCGAGAAGGAGGCACGTTTCCTTGCAGGTACTTGTTCCCCCAAACCCTCAAGAGGCACATCTTGTGATGGCCAGAGACTGACCCTTCAACCCCACCCCCTGTGACAAGATTGATTCTATCCATAGGATGACCATCAGACTTAATTTCAAGTACTTTGAGTTGTTAACTCTGATAAGTGCCCTCAAACTTATTTTTATTATCATCTCAGAAGTTGAGGAGAATTAACGTGGGACTGTGGGTTCTGATGCCATCTCTCCTTCAGGGTGGACTATCCAACCCCTGGACTTCCTCAGTACCAGGGGGAAAAGGCAGGGGCTGTTGGCTTCAAAAAACTCTGTTCTCCTGTTTCTTGAAAAAGAAAGGAAAGTTGGAGATCTTTACTAGCCTTAGCCCATCAGCACATTGCAGTCATGGAGTCACATATGTGGCTCATTACTTGTGACAACCACTAGAAGGTCAAGGGACCTGGGTGAGGAGAGAGTGGTTTACAGAAGAAGTTTCCTTCCAGGAAAGTAGTGTAGGTATGAGACAAGCCTGTAGTGCACCTACAATGGTGGCTGAGCCCTAGTGGCAGGTCTCAGTAAGATCCCTAGGGAGAATGATAGATCTGGAAGAGAAGGGAGGTATCTTTGTATTGGTGTGGGTGTGGTGGAAGAAATATCAGTGAGGGGGGAGGCAAACATGTAAGGGACAGGGCATGGTGTAGAGCAGCTAGCAATGTAGGCTTCAACTTACTCATGGAAGTTGACTAGAATAGGGACCCCCAAGTCTATCCATCTTCACTGTTCTATCCTCCCTCCCTTCTCCTTCCAATTCCTTGAACTATCAACTTGGTGGCCCTATAATCCCATGGTGCTCTCTTGGAGATTCTCTGTTAATCTTGAGGCACCACCCCACCCCACCCCCAACCTGAATATCTAGATTCCTCTGTCCTTGACTGCCTAATACCAGCTACCACTCCTAAAAACGTCCAAAAAATAAACTTCTGGAAATCCCAAATTTCAATCCCTTAGGATATCTCACCAGAAGACCCCCAACTCTTTCCCTTAGGAATCCTAAATCTGACCTTTTGGGAAGTCCCCCATGATTTTGCTTTGTTTCAGGGCATGTACAAAGGCTGTGCTGTCCAATATAGTAGCCACTGGCCACATGTAGCTATTGAGAACTTGAAATGTGGCTAGTCCGAGTGGAAAATGCTGAAAGTGTAAAATATCAACTAGATTTCAAAGACTTTCTATGAATAAAAGAATGTAAAATATCTCACTAATTTTTATATGGATTAGATGTTGAAATGATCATCTTTCATACATATTAGGTTACCTAACATATAGTAGTAAAATTAATTTCATCTGTTTCTTTTACTTTAATAGGGCTACTAGAAAATTTCAAATCATGCGAAGGGTTTGCATTGTATTTCTATTGAACAGTGCTGCTCTAATGTCCCCTTCCCCATGCATGTGTCTAAGGGTTCTCAGAAATATCTCGTGCTAACCACATTTCTTCTCCCAGGCGTCATGGAACAGTTTGCCATTTCTGAGGCCACACTCATGGCCTGGTCTTCCATGGATGGTGAGGACATGAGTGTCAACTCTGCCCAGGAGCCATTGGGCTGCAACTACAGTGACAACTACCAGGAGCTGATGGAGAGTCAAGGTGAGGGATGGTTTCAGAATCCAACCCCTGAGGCTTAAGGGGCCTCCCCAACTATCTATGCTACTTCTGTACATCTCTGTGCTTCTAAGACTTTCTGTTCATCCTAGCTTTCTATTCCCCTCCTTCTCACCCTCAATTGTCTCACCCTCAATTATCTGTGCTGTTGTTACTGCCTTTGATAGTCTATGCCCCCACCGACCTTCATGATTCTCTTTACAGATGCCCTCACTCAAGCCCCCATGGATGGATGGCCTCACTCCTATGTGTCCCAGGGCATGTACTGTCTGGGATCATCGGATGCCTGGGAAGCAAGCGACCAGTCCCTCATTGCCTCTCCAGCCACAGGATCTTATCTTGGCCCTGCATTTGATGACTCACAGCCAAGCTTACATGAAATGGGGCCTTCCCAACCTGCTTCCGGATACTCTGCTCAGGAGCCTCCACCTTTGCTGGGGGGAGAAACTGACTGGGCTCCAGGTATGGGTGGGGTGGACCTGGCAAGGGGCCCTGCAGAGGAGGAGAAGAGGCCCTTGGCCCCCGAGGAGGAAGAAGATGCGGGATGTAGGGACCTGGAATCACTTTCCCCACGAGAAGACCCCGAGATGGCCACTGCTCTCAGCCGAAAGGTATCTGACGTCACATCCTCAGGTGTGCAGTCCTTTGATGAGGAGGAGGGTGAGGCCAACAACTAGCTTCTTCCCACTCTACACACTATCTTCCACTCCCACCTGAGGGGCCTGGCTGCAACAATACCCTCCCTTCCCCCAGCAGTACAGCTGAAACCCGGGCAGAAGACCAGGAGGAACCCAGGAGCTGCCAGTTCTCGCCAGGAAAATGGAGGGCCGGGATAGGATTCCATCCAGGCTTGTGCTGTAGAAACCACAGGTCTGGGGACTGAGGCCCAGGCAACTAGATGGCTGTGAACTGGGTTTGGCTGCGGGCTTCTGGGTCTGTGATGATGAAGCTCCAGTTTGTATCCTGGAGACAGGAGCCATCAACTAGATCTCTGTTTTTCACTCCCTGACTTCGTCATTCAGAAGCCTTGAGAGTGGCTGTCTGAATGCCTCCTTTCTCATGTCACTTTTGCTTTTTCCGACTCTGTGTTTTCTCTGGCTGTGGTCCCAGCTTGACCCTACTATGAAGAACAGACCTGCTGGACGTGACTCAATGAGTGTAGGGGAAGCCACGTCTCCTTAGAGAATGGAGAAGCTGCCTTCAGTGGGTAGCTTGGCTTCTGAGACCAGGAGTCACAGAGGAAGCGGACATGGCAGCTGGGGTGCACAGGGCACAAACAGGATTCTTTATATAAGGCCCACCCAGAGACCAGAGAGTCATTGATGGGACCAACAACAAACATGGCCACCTATTCTGGGATCTTGAATATCCCGTGACTGAAAGGTGGGTCCTAAGGGTCTAGGAAAGGACCCAGTGAGCTGGCTGCTCCAGCTCTTGCTTCCTTTGTCTGCCTTCTTCCATCCCCTGCTCCAGGAGCCCTGCCCAGAGGGGGTGACAGAATGCAGGTGTCCTGCCAGGTGGGGAAGCATGAGGGCTGTGCCTCCCTCCCTCCACCCCCAAATTCTCTGGAGCTGTTTACACTTTTCTCTTTGCCTTTTCTACATTTTTATAACTTCTTGGGGACTCAGGTTGAGTGGGGTGGAGGGAGGAGTCTGGTGCTGTCAGGCCCCCGCCCAGTGTGTTGTCGGCTGAGAATCAGTGTGGGCACTCGGCTCCTTTTTTTCCTTCTTCAGTTCCTCCCAGGCAGCCTCCCTTCCCAGGCCTCCTGCGGAGAGTGGAATCAGAGTCTTCTTCCTTTTAGGACGGGTTTATAGTGAGGCAGAAGCCCCTGAACCGGCTAGTCCTTCCACACCCAGTTCCCATTCTGGTGGGGACTTCTGTCCACAGCACACAAAGCCCCACACTTCTGTATGCGATCCTGATAGCAGGGCCAGGCTGGAGCTAAGGCATGGCAGCTGAGGAGCACACCATGGGACCCCATTCCCTAGCCCCTGGCAGAGGGAAAAGTTAAGATGGCCATTGCCTACCTTTTGTCTCCTCTTCTAAGACTCCAGCTCCGAGGCCTTTGTCCTACTTTGTCAGAGGTCCTATTCTGTCCTCTACTAGGAAGGGGGCTCGGTCACTCTCACAGACCCTGGGCACAAACGAGCCCACCCCCCATCCCCAGATGTCTATTTCTTTGGAATGAGGAGGTTAAGAGTTTGTGTCCATCTATGACCCCACCCCTCATCAAGTTCACACTTTCATAGGCATAATGGTCCTGCAATGCAACCAAGGCTGGGGTCCCATGTCTTCAGGGGAGGGGAGGTCAATTCTTGGAGGAAACATAAGTAGGCCTGGTGAACACAGATGGGTGAAGAGTTATTTACCTCATCTAAAGCTGTGGCTTGTGTCTGATCATGTGACCTAACTCCGGAGGCACCAGGACCTCCTGTCCGGGAGCTTTGGGCAGTAATATTGTGGCCTCACCCTGCACTCCTGTCACAGGTCTTGGGGTTTGCATGCTTGAGGTTCCCTCCTTTCAGGGGGCCCTTGATACCTCACCTTGTGCAACCTGCTCTCTGGATGAATCATCTTTTTCTCTTAGTTTCATCCTCTTCTTGCCCCCTGTTCTGTCCCCAGACTGCAGTGGGCATCCACTCCAGTGAGTGGGTGCATTCATTACAGTTCCTTTTTGCTCAGGGCCCTGGGAGTTAGGGAAGGTAGAGGAAAGCATCCCTCTTTCCTCCCTCCCTACCTTAGGAAGCCTTCTTTTGGTCCCTGCTGAAAGATGACTGAATGGTCGAGGAATCTAGCTTATTTGACTCCAGCAGGGCTCCACATCCCCGGTGCTGGCAGCTGGCACATGCGCAGGCAGACCAGGGGTCAGCCGGGAGTCTGCATTTGCAAGAAGCTTCCCTACCACTTTGAAGGAGAAGACCCAGGGAGCTGGCCTTGGACCCTCTTAGGACTCTTCTGGAAGGAGGAACTGCCTCTTTGGTGCTGGGGGCAGGGTGCATGGGGTTTGCTTATAGCCTATTTGGGGGGAGGGGAGGGGCATGTGCTGGAAGAGGCTATTGGGGGTGAGGGAGGGTTGCTTTTCCTCCGGGGTTCAAGGCTGTGCAGCACGATTTCCAACAGTCCTGGAACAGGGCTGTTTTTATATTATTGTGAATGAAACTGCTCTTGCTAAATGATTTTCTTTTGGTGGGGGTGCACTTTTATTTTCAGTTTCTGGGAAACCCAAATCTTCCATTCCTCCCCTTCTACCTCCCCCCTCCTCCCCTTCCTTCTTATCCTTGTGTTAAGGAGGGGATCTTGGTGAATGTGTTTATGACCTTTTCCCTGCCCACCTATACAGCCCATGCTCGTCTTCCAGGTCTGGGGAGTATCCATTTTTGTGGTCAGTCTTAGCATGTTTTCTTAATGTGACACCCCTCCCCCCCAGGCCTAAGAGAGATTCTATGACATATATTACAGAGAGAATTATATATAAATATATATGAATATTATAGATTATATACACATGGGCATTGGGCTCCAGTGCCCACTGCCAGCCCCCTCCCCAGGCTACACTACAGCCTCTCTCTTGGCCTGGGGAGGGGGAAGGGATGTAACGCTGGAGAGGGCTCCAGGCTGTGTTCAATGGCACTAAACAGAATGTGGTGGCATCCTCTGGCTATGAGTGTCTTATTTGGGGGATGAAGGAGACTGGGCCAGGGGAGGTGAAGGAGGAGAATGTCACATTGGAAAGGGGACACAACTCAAGGGCATCAAGGGGGGAGGGGAAAAGCTTGGAGTGTGGGTGCAAGGGTTTTTGGATGCTCAGAGCCCCTGGGACCACTGGCAGAAAAGGCAGGCTCTTGGCAAGCTCCCTGTTGCTGATTTGGGGAGGATATGGTTCTGATCCTCCAAGTGTGGAAGCACTGAAGAGGTCGGCCATCTTGACATTGAAACCCCAGCTCTCCACCCCAAGAAGAACACAGAGAACTCGTCTAAGGGCTGGTGTCTGAGTGACCAACTGAAGGGTTCTTGGCAGGAGAGGTCCCAGCCAGAGCAGTTTGAGGGCAGAGCTAACCCTTGGGAAGGACAGATCAATGACCACAGTGGGAAGAAAGGGGATGGATTTTTCTAGGAAGCGACCTGGAAATGGGGTAAGGAAGCTGTGATGTGAGATAGGGAGGATTTCTGATGGAGGGTGTTTGATGGGGCAGCATGACCATTTGGCTGAAGGTGCCTGCCCCTTCCACATAGAGCCTTTTGTGACGTTTTCTCTTCCAGGCTTCTCCCCCTGATAGTCTCTTTATCCACATTTCACTGTGTAAATCCGGTACAAAGAAGGGGGGGATGGGATTGGCCTTTCACTGTCCCAGTACTGGCCTTGCGTGGGGACAGAGAGTGGCAGTCAGATGGAGTCTGGAGGCAAATCTCAGGGAGTGGGGAGACCATGGGGTGGGGAACTTGAAAGAAGGAGCTGTGGATGGTCTGAATGCTAGTCACTGTCCAAATTCTGACCCCTCCTCTAGACTATCATTGTCACATTTTAAAATTCCCAGGAGGGTCAGGATATTGGCCTGATCTCCCCAACTTAAGGACATACGGTCTCCCCCACAAATCCACCCTCAGGCCTGGGCCTCCTGACAGACAGACTGATGAGGCAGCCCTGGGGTGTGGTCAAAGGATCAGTTCATCCTCATCCTCCTCATCGGTGGATCGCAGGCTGGGGCCCTGCAAGATGTCAGCCAGATCCTCTTCCAGCCCAGGACTGTCCACCAGCTCCAGCTCCTCCAGCTCACCTTCCGCCTTGGCTGGAGCCAGGGAAAGTGGGGGCTCTGGGGAGGGAGGCAGCTCAGGGGTGTCTGGGGAGGTAGGGATCACATCCTTTGGCTCAGTGGCCCCAGTTCCATCCTCAGGCAGATTCCAGGCCTCCGAGGGAAGGAGCTGGCTCCCAGGAGTCATTCGAGTTGAAGTTGTGCTCCGGAAGCTGGCCAGGGGAGGGCGGAGATGCACCCCCGACTTGGTGTGCCCCTCAATGGCCTTCTGCAGCTGGGAACAGAGGGAAAGGGAAAGAGGGTACAGAATTGGGAAGAGAAAGAAGATGGGGCAGTGTGAGTGGAACAGACACAACAGAAGAATAGATATGATAAAAGGAAGAAGGAATGGGAAAGCGGTAGAGTGGCAAGAAAGATAGACCACATGGAAAGATCAAAGAAGACAGAAAAAAGGAAGAGAAAGGGGTATGGCCAGCAGAGCCCCTGCAGAGCAGTGAATCTGAAGCCCCTAACCAAGATGTCCTTTGGCTCCTTCCTAGTGACCTTCAGGCCCCCTTCAACTACATCCTATCTCTTCCTTCTTTCCATGGCCCTCCCCATAGAGCACCCCTATGAAACCATGTCTTGTGCCCTGAACCCCAATCCCAAACCCATGCCAGCTATGAAAGATCACAAGGGCTATATCTGGGGTCAACAACTATGTCTCCTTCAGATCTTTATAGTCCTCTCTACCTGTACCCCTTGATTGCTGAAACCTCTCTCCCTCCTCCAATCTCTGCATGAGAAATAGAGAGGGAAATGGGGGAGGGGGTTAAAATCATCCCTCCCCCACCCCCACATCCTGCACCCAGCCATTCCTCCTGCTGCTCAAATAGGACGCATTGCTGTTACCTCTTCCAATGCCAGCACACCCCGGAGCTTCCCCATACTGGTCACATAGGCAAGGTGGAGGCCAAGAAGCGAGAACAGTGTGTGAATCTGCATAGAAAAAGCAGCAGGTCAGCGCACAGTGAGCCCCACACCTCCCCTGCCCTCCCAGCAGCCCTGAGTGGTGGGCAAGGACTAGCCTTGTGCAGGGACGTCTGTTCCACCAGCTGGAAAGGGGACTGGTCAATACAGCAGCAATCAAAGCAGACAGGCTGGCTCAACTGCTCCTGTTCCCAGGCCTCAATCTGTGGAGCAGAGCAGAGTAGTCAATACCTCAGGTACAAGGCTTAGACCCCAAGCAGCCCTACCAGCTGGGAATCCTGAAATATGCAACTGAAATATGCAATGAACTAGCACAGACTTTCCAGACCACTAAACCCCTCCCTTCTTCCCAGGGTAGAACACCAGGCTCCAAATCAACCTTCAGCCTCAGGCACTAGCACCCCACACTCTTCTTCACCACCACCACTCAAGTGCCCCAAACACCTACTATTTTCAAGCTATCTTTTCCGTCTTTCCCCTCCGCCCGTGAAACCTGACTGCTTGCCATTCCTCACACAGGTCTTCTGGCTTCTGCGCTGGTCGAGCTGCATTTCCCTTATCTGCCCACCCTGCACCCACTCTGTACTCTTGCCACTCCCAGGCCAATGTGTTTTGCCCCTTTTTCAATTCCTGCAGCACTCTGCTGTTCTCTCCTTTTCAGAAAAGGCATGGACCGTGCTCACTCTTGTATTGGCATTTGTCTCACCTCTGCCCACTGGACACGAACTCCTGGAGAGTGTTACTGGTATGGATGGGTGCCTGTTGTGAAGACACTGGCACATTTTCCTTTTACACAGTTAGTGTGCCAGATATTTGTTGGGTTTGAAGAGCTGTGCTGGGTCACATGGTGCTTAGTGGACTTGAGCAAAGCCATCTTTTTTGTTTGTTTTGTTTATGACAGAAGCATTAAAACAGGAAGGACAACCCTCTTGATTTAGACACGATGCTCCAGTCCTCAAGCTTCTAAAGAATCCAGGAAGGCTCTGGCTTTCATAAACGAATCTAAAATTTTCTGAAACTCTCCTCTTCTCTTACTGAAGGTTCACATGGGGACTGACCGGCTCTCACAGCACAGGATGGAGACCACTTAGCAGGTATGTCATGGAGCCGATTTATTCATGACAGGCAGCCACCTTGCCAACCCTGGACCTTTCCATGATCGTTTCTGGCCTCCCTTAGTTCCATTTCTGCCTTCCCTTAAGGAACAACAATAACAGGACCTGTATCAAGCACTTTCTCTGTGCTGGACATTACTCCAACTGCACAGAGGTGAGCTGGGCTTCTGACCTTGACTGCTGGTAGTGTTCCAGGTACCCCCAGCTCTTGTCCGAGGGGAGGAGTATGTCTGTTCTTGAGTCTGAACTTGAAAAAGCTAAGCCTCAGTTACAAACAGGAGCTCTAACTGTGTGTACTAACAATGTAGCAGAATTAAGTCATAGCAGGGGCTTCTGGAGACCTATAATTGAATTCTTTCAATATTCCCGCGGGTATCATCTTGATATTGCCAAGGGTGTCACCTTGATCTAGTCTGAATACCATGTTCAAAATCATCTGAAGTCTGACTCCAATTGGATCTTATTCCTCCAAAATGTCAGCGAGTCACATGGGAGCTGGGAGCTGCGTAAAGTCTCCTTTGGGAAAGATATAAACTAAAAAGGTAGACCTGTCATCTTTTTGTCCCTGGCAGCACTTTATTTTCAGCGGTTATTAAGTAGCCTCATTGATCAACTAGCTGGCGTTCTCTCTTTGGTGTGTTAACAGCAACAAAAAGCATTATTACTGGGTTTAGCACCCTACTTCTTAATTGCAGATATGACACATCTGATTCCTGCTTATGGACCGAGGAATGATTTTTCTTTTTCCTTTGTGATCATCTGTTTGACTCTTCCGTAAGTCATTTATCAGAAGTGTCTGTGTTGTGAGGGGTGGCAAGGGGAGAAGGAAGTTTCCTTTCTCTCTTGTCACTCCCCACCCCTTCCTCCAACCCTGGAGTACTTTTACTTTTCAGCACTTATTTATTCCGGACATCCAGTAAGGTATTTATTCTAAAATAATATGCATTATGGTTTTGTCAGCTACAAAGCATGAGTCTGCATTCTTATTTACTAAATGGAATGGCCACTGATGGACACTGTTGTGTCTGCACACCCTCTAGGGTGTGTCCCCATTAGTACTGCTCCCAATCACCACTCTACATTCTTTTACTGCTCAGAGGTTGGAAAGGAGGCATAACCATGGAGACAGGTCAAGGCCATTCAGTGTGCTTGACGTTCTTGCTCATGGACTTGATAACTAGCTTTCTTGGGAAATAGGCATTTGTCCCAAGAGGCAGCACTGTGAATACTTGTCCTCAGGTTGTGGTTCTTCTCAGTCCTGCTTCCTGGCATTCCCTAGCTGTCCACTGTCTCAGGGCCATGGTGGATCAGCAGAGTAACCTCTACCAGGTGCTGATTTCACCTTTACAGCCTCAGTGCTGTTTCTCCACATTGGGATGTGTAAGTGCTGGTGCCCGGTGCTCAGCCTTCTTGCATAGCCTCTGCCTGTCCAGAATGTCCCTAATGCCTACAAGATCTGAGGTTCATCTTAGCAGCATGGGCCCATCGATGCACGGAGACTCAAAACATCCCTCTTTTCAAATGACGGTGGTCCTTCTGAGAATACTATCAGGGCTCCCCACCTTTGCGCAATGTGCCCATCCCCATCGCCATAGTCATGCCTCCTTCCAGCCTCTCAAATGCTTTCCTGCCTAGACTCACATTTTATTCTTACAACAACACGAAGACAGAAAAAGATGAGCAATATCTTCATTTGACAGAACAGTCCACCCCAGGTTGCTGTTTCCCTTACTTACCTCTTCAGGTGACATGTTATCCACTAAATCCGTTGAATCCTAGAGAAGAAAGATATAGGTCCAAGTTCTTTCCTAATGGAATTATA